CAGGGCCCGCAGACCCCGGGGGTTCGGGGCCCTGGGCCTCCAGCGGCCGGTTGGGCCTCGGGCCTTGGGGTGCAGCCACCCCCCCTCCCCCCCGGGGTTAACGGTGGCCACCGGTTCGTCACCGGCTCCGGCCACGCTGGTCACAGGCAACGGCCGGCCGTCGCCTTCCCCTTTTCCCACCGCTTTTTTCCCAGCCTCGTCCTGCTCGCCGCCGGCACCTACGCGCTGTTCTTGTCTTCTTTTGCCACCTGTCTTCCATCAAAAACTCCCCGCAAAATGCACCTGGCGAGCCGCAGCCGGCCTAACGGTGACGGGCGCCACGCGAATATCCACGTATTTGTGGCTTTCCCCATACATTTCGGTGGATACTCTCTACCCGTACAAAGTTTACGTCAAAATAACTGGTGAGAAAACATAACGCCGCTATATGGCACAGCGTTTTTCGTATTTCAGCGATATGTTCTGTAAGGACCACTCCAGAATTAAAAGAGGTGCACAGAATACCTTGCGTGTGCCTACACATTGCTCTCGTCTTTGCTCGGCTTTCACACCATTAAGATCTCACTATTTTGGGCGGCGTTTGGGGGATATGTAAATGTAAGAAATCTTATGTTGCAAAGCACTGTACTTATGTATTTAAACTATGCATTTTTTAAATCCCTGCGTGCACCCCCTCCTCTACTGCATTAATTTTGGCGAAAAAAATTGCTTTACTATCTGCTGAATCATTAACCATCGCACTTGTCAAGAAATGCGTCCCTGATGCAGGCAGGGTATGGCCATAAAAAGGTAGTTTAAACACTCCACAAGGATAGAAATGTTTATGGTATGCTTTAAGTATCAATTCGTGGGCAAATGAGTCAGTGTAATGCGATCAGGAGGCATCACCGAGGGCACGCTTCCCCGTGCTAGGTGAAAGAGCTGTTTTTATGACGATAGGACTAAAAAGTGAGGGTCATTTTGGAAAAAACCTTCATCGCTCTTCTTGTCTTGTGTAAATCATGTGGAGGGTGGAGGTGAGTTGCGAGGGGGACTGGGAGGAGCGCAGTCCGCAAACACTCCTTTCGATAAGCAGCATTAAGCTCTTTGGCCAAGAGTTTCCAATCCGGCACCAGCTTCCTCATGGCTGGCTTCTTTCGAAGTCAAGGAGGTTTTTCCCTGAAAGCAAAGGAGGCAACAAATTGATGGGAGCCCAATATAGTCTGTGCAGGCAACACGGTTTTAGCGTGTTAAGATCTTAGCGCTGTCAGGGCAAGTTTGCACTCCAGCACATGGTTGCCCGCAAGGGAATCGGACTTCAGCTTGGTCAGTTTCGCACGTATTAAAGGCAGTTGACTTGTGCCTTGCCAGGCTTCTGTAAGCTTAACATCTTGAAATAAACATAACATCTTGAAATCTTCGCCTGGGTAAAGTCTATGTTAAGGTTTTACTTGCCAGTATCAGCAGCTCTCTTCTCATCACTTGCTTTGACTCTAGTTCTTCTCACGCAGCTGCTGTGGCTGAGTCGTGGAGAAGGCTCCTTTGGGGTACTGTACTGCTCCAAATGCAATTGTAGAGCTGGAAAATACAACCTGTGGCTGCCTTGGGGAGTTAGGTCATGGCGTCTCCCAGTGAGAGGCTGCTCTGAGCTCATTTGAACAGCCACATGTATTGTCCCTACCGCTTCTTAGGGTCCCTTCAGTCCCTGAGACCCTTCAGTGCTTGGTCTCCACGCTGAGGCTGCTGACAGAAGGAGGGAGCAGTGCAGACAGCAATGGTCGGTGTGGAAAACCGAACTTCTAACATTAGTGGCCGTGCCACTAGAATTAGATGGACGTCACTCAAAACTAATTCCAGGCAGAAGGAGCCAAATGTCTCTGAGTGCCTGGGCCAGGGAGGCAAACGGGTGCCCTGACGGGGGAAGGCACCCAGACCCTCAGCCCTGTGCCGGTAGAGCACGTTTTCATTTCACATGCTCTGATGTCCCCTTACCTTTGGGATGTCTTAGTCTCATTTGCCTCAGAAATCTGGAGCTGAACAAAGAGTCTTCTCTGGTCAGCTTCTGTTGGTACGTACGCGTGGGCGCAGTCAATCATCTCTCCTAGAAAAGTGCCCCAGAGGCAGCGGTTCAGGGCATTGTCAGAAGCTGTCCTGCCCCGGGTCCTCGGTGAAGGAGGTGGTAAGGAGCATCTCCTGCACTCGGTCGGGTAAAACGTGACCGAGACACTTTTTACCCAACAGACACGTCTTCAGGACAGGCGGAAGATCACGGTAGCCCAGGGAAGCAGGGAAAGGCTATGAATCTGTATTCTCAGAGCTAGCAAAGTCTGGGCTTCTTCATATAGCAGGATTAAAGGAGAAGCAGGGCTTGTAAGGTTGGGTCAGAGCTGTGAAGGCAGGTTACAGGGCAGTATTAACAAGAGGACTACCTCCTTCCTACTTTTCCCTCTCTGTTTCTGTATTTAGGTCTGATTCACCATAGCCTTACACCTGCTGTATTCACTTACACCAGCGCAGAGCGCATTCAAATCAAGTTCAGCCGTAACCCTGCTGATTCGTAGTGTTTTATTACTCTCTTCCCCACCCCCTCGCCAGCTCCTTCCATCTCAGTTTTATCTCTCTATTGATCTGTTTCTCTCACACTCTCTGACACGCTTGCTGCCTTTCATTATTAGCCAGATAAAGCCAGGCAGCCGGAGCATCCTAGCTACATGGTGCTCTCTCTGTCCTCCTCCTCCACTCCGATCCTGAGGTCCTACGTCCTCTGTGCCGGGTCCCCACATTTTTGTCTGCTCCTTCTTTGTCCTGCATAGAGCTAAAACAAGGGCAAAGAACAGAAAGTCCTTTGAATGAATCGGATCCTGAGCAATCCGAATGAGAAGGTCATCATCTTCCTAAAAGACGCAAACCCTCGTGAGAGTGCATGGTGACATCCTCATAACTTAGCAAAGTCTCTGCCTTGTGCCTAGATCGGGGTGCCGGGTGTTGAGATTAAATTCCAGACTCCTGGAGTCATTAACTCCCATGCTTTCACTTTGTTCACAAAGCAAACGCCTACCTTTATGGTCACAGGGAGACTGTGAAATGTGATTTTCATGTAACCTAAAGAGTCGGAAGTAGGAGGCGAAGAATGCAGATGAAAGCAAGGCTTTACAACATTTCATAATTTTACGATAAATCTTGTGACATGGGGAGGTTCTGCGTTGTTATTTCTGAATGTTTGGGATTTCTAATTCTCACTGTAACCACCCCTGGCATCATCTCTTTCTTCTGATCTCGCTCTGATCTTTCCAGAAGAAACCTCCATTCTCTTTGTACTGTAGATCCACCTTCTTTCCTGTGCGCTCACTGTCCCACTTTAAAGCCTGGAGAGCTGTACTGTCTCATTCTATGTTGTTTCTCTCTTCACCACCGCAGAATCCAAATAACTTGTCAAAGCGCTGGTGATATTTTTTCCCCAGCCCTTCTCCAAACATAGCTAGGGTCACATCTCCTGATTTTTCACAACTGTGTGTAACACAGACCCCAAGACAAAAACACTGTAAGGACAAAGGAGGCTGGGGTGAACCGCTTGGATACCAACACAATCCAGAAGGCTTTTAACCCTAGAACTTGTGCTGGGCTAATGCACACAGGGTCCTAAGACCCGTACCTGGTTATGCCTAAAGGCAGCCCAATATCAGCTGCTTACAGAGGAGATTAAAAAGGGAGTAACTGCACGGTAACTCTTCCTCCGATCGGCTCTCACAGCCCTCAGGATTTTGCAGACCGGCAACTGTCTTCCAGACAGGCCTTTGGTCGTGATTCAAAGACTCCAGAAGAGAGAGGATCTTGCACTTCACTTGGTAGTTTGTTCCTGTGATTAATCACTCTCCAGTGACTGGCTCGTGTTATTCTCTGCCAGAATACCTGGTAGACTTTTCCCCAGGAAGGAAGTGATACTGCAAGCAAATCATGTCTCGTTCTGCTTTTTGAGACATTAAACAGGTTGACCTCTTTAAATTACTGAGATCTCCAGCCTTCGGATCACCTTTGATTCAAAGTTATTTTTAAAATATGGAGCATGAAGCAGTGTACAGTTTTCCAGTATGGAACTTACCCAGACACAGAGAGAGGTTTAATCATCTCCTCACTTTGCTTCCTTACTTCTGTCTTTGCACAGCCTGGGATCACTTCAGATCCATTGCTGCAGCCTGGCCCACTGGCCTTATGTTGGGTTTTCTGCCCGTTACGGTCCCTAAATCCTTTTCAGATCACCTCTTTTCAGGACTGGAAGTTGTTCTTTGTAGATTCGGACATTTTTTCCTGCTCCTGCCTGTACAATGAGCTCTCGACTATCTTGTAAGAAGTTTCATGAGAACGACCACCTTACCCAGTGCAGTAGGTCATTCTGTGCTGGTCCCATCCTCATTATTTTTAACACTCTAACAATATTTGTGTCCTCAGTAAATTGTGTCAGAAAGAGCTATATCTGTTCATCAAGCACTGAATAAAATGGTGAGTCATACCTGACCCAGGACTCGTTCCTGGGCATCCACATAGAAACACTGCCACTCACCGGTGGGCTTCCAGGGACGACCTCCTTTGCGTTTGCAGGCCATTAAAAGGAGTTAACCAGCTCACTTAACCTCCTGCTCTGTTAATATTGCATAATGCTATTTTTCTCTCATCAGCATGCTTTGGGGTATTAATGCTTCCAGAAGCCTGGATAGATCTAAGGCATCACCTTTTCCAAACAAACCTGTAGTCACATC